GGAAGTCGTTCATTATGATCGGATATACTATTAATCTTGATGTACACACGGTTTACATATTTATAACTAATACGTTTGCAACCAAGCCTTGTTACTGAAAGGGCGTTCCAATAATTACAACAAAATGCAGACCCTATAACCATACTAACGACTCTTTTACATTACGTCATCAGGTTAGATCGTGGTATTAAAAGATCTTCTAGCTGCTTGGAAACTTTCGATGAATCAACTGGTAAGAACTGATATATCTTCCTTTGCATCGGGTTGCAATTAAGCCAACGTTTAATTACCATCAATGCGGATAATTAATAATTAATATTTAACAATTAAGTACGAATACGATTTGAATGACATTTTTTTCTCTTCAAATACAAACACTGTTTGAATGAATTAAAATCCCTCCAAAGACAGATAGTATTTGAATGAAAGCACAGCTCCCCGATTATCAACACAATTTGAATGGTCTACCCCCAAATACAGATACTACACTGTATTTAAATGAACGAACTTCTCTACAAAGACTTGTTATTTGAGGGGGGCAAGGGTTATTTTTCGTTCAACTTAATTGCAATATTTTTTTGCTCGTACAACGTAAATTGAAAAAATAAATTTCGTAATTCCGTAATCACAGGCTAGACGTACAACGTAATCAATCAAATATTTTGTTCGTACACTGTGAAAATGTGTCATTTTTCTTGGTACGTACACGAATTTACATCCAAATAAAAAAAGTCGTAAAGAATAATCCAGGGAAATTACATTTTCGAAACTGTAAAACGACTAGATGACACAATTCACTGCAATTTCTGCACTGCAAAATTTTTATTTCCCGTAAAACTGTACTGGCTACCCCCTTTGCCCGCCCTCTTATTTGTCTTATTTGTATTTATTTGAATAAACCTACTCGTTTCGAAAGACAGATACTATTTGAATGGAATGACTTCTCTTCGATTAGAGATACTATTTGAATCAAATAAATCCCCTCTAGACATATAATATTTGAATAGACTCCTTTCCGAATACAGATTCTAAGATTCGAATGAAATGACTCTGAATATGGACACTATTTGTAGGAGCTGACTCCTTCCAACACACATTTGAATGAAATGACTCCTCTCTGAATATGGATACTATTTGTAGGAGCTGACTCCTTTCCAAACACATTTGAATGAAATGACTCCTCTCTGAATATGGATACAATTTATAGGAACTGACTTCTTTCCAAACACATTTGAATGAAAGGACTCCTCTCTGAATATGGATACTATTTGTAGGAACTGACTCCTTTCCAAACACATTTGAATGAAATGACTCCTCTCTGAATATGTATACTATTTGTAGGAGCTGACTTCTTTCCAAACACATTTGAATGAAAGGACTCCTCTCTGAATATGGATACTATTTGTAGGAACTGCTCCCTTCCAACACATTTGAATGAAATAACTCCTCTCTGAATATGGATACTATTTGTAAGAACTGACTCCCTTCCAACACACATTTGAATGAAATGACTCCTCTCTGAATATGGATACTAATTGTAGGAACTGACTCCCTTCCAACACACATTTGAATGAAATGACTCCTCTCTGAATATGGATACTATTTGTAAGAACTGACTCCCTTCCAACACACATTTGAATGAAATGACTCCGCTCTGAATATGGATACTATTTGTAGGAACTGACTCTTTTCCAAACACATTTGAATGAACTCACTTGTTTTAGAATATAGATAATATTTGTTTGAAATATAATTGTTATGAACTCACTCCTCATCGAAAACAGATGCTATTTGAATGAACTTACTCCTCGTATGGCATGTGCCTTAATATAATAATGAATTTGGATTTGATGGTTCATTGCCGGAACCTTTCTAAATACAGCCCTTCTGCCTGCAAAACGCGTTTGGTTCTTAAGTACCGTACTATAAAAGAACACATTTTTACATTAGCACGTTGCTGTATAATGCACCGCCTTCGCCTCTACGCGTTGCGTTCAACGCAACTCATGCAATGTATACAAAGCTTGTAAAAACACAATTACGAAATTCGAATTCGCCGTGACCAAATAATCTATATACTTGCAAACATATATACCTGTACGCAGAAAATTATTCAAGTAATTAAAAAACAAAACAACAAAATCACACCCGCTAACTTCTCCAACTTTGCAATTCTAGCGCGATGTCTATTAATTTTGCCGAGAGCTTGTTGTTGGGCGCAGCTTGTTTAATTAGAGTTTAGACAACATATCGACATGTTCTATCCTGGAAAGATGGATCATTTAAAGTAACTTTTATTTAATAGAATCACAGTATATATATGTAATGCGCTCATGCAAAATGTAGCCGGTTGCATATGGATGGCTCCGCTGGGAATTACCACGTACTCCAAGTCATAGCATAACCTGCTCCTAAATGAACTTACTATAAATATTCGATGAGCCGGAATTATTACTGCACAACTCCATTCCTGATAATTTCTCCAATTACACTGGCTTTATTGCCGGCTTTTCTGCTTTCCACAATATGCCAGTGTATTTGTTATCAGTATAGATCGGGATGTGACCCGATGGCTGCCTTTATTCGGGTTCCCTTGATGTATCCTATACGAGGCCCCCGGGAGAGGCAGTCTCACATCACATAAATAGGACGGGCCCGTAAGATGCGTGTAATTCTGTTCAGTAAACTTTGATGAACATTGTAGCGATGGGCTTTAGTCAATTAAAGTTCAAGCGTGCAAGAAACGAACAATTCGGTGACCGAGTAGACCCATTACCGTCGCTTATCGGACCTAGTCCCTGTATAGGAGACGCCTAAACTGCGTTAATTACGGGTACGATACCAAACGAGTATTTTGAAACATTGAACCACGGCTATTATGACAACCCCCAAAAAACTTCCGAGATAGTTCGATCGTTCTAAATCGTAATAGGTAATCACACTTATGTCCCGTGGTAAATTTACAGTCGTAAAAAGCCGATGCCTACGTGTGTGGCCTGTTTCTAAAAGTAACGTCGCTGTGTACTTAATCGTTCAATATATTTCGTTTTTTGATGGACCAACAGTCGGATATTGTGCTTTGCACATTTGACATTTTCTAATATACTTTCTATATGATGCTTTGGCTTGTCTGATGCAATTCGAAAGTTGTATTGGAAAATTTTCTGAGACGGCGCGGCGCGGCGCGTAGGCAGCGGTGCATTAATACATCTCCGTGTAATTGTTCAATATTTTCGAATGTGAATTTAACGCAGGTCGTAACAAATCCATACTCGACAGTGAAAATAGTTTTCCAGAATTGTGCTATTTTGTATTGCGTGCTGAAAAACACGAATCATCGAACTGGTTTCTTAACCAAAGGCAGACTTCTAATTGCGCGAGACAGATAGAATTGATACTTGGCTTCCCGAACTTTTCTATAATAATTTCGTCGCCATATCGCAATACCGTCATAGCTGTTTCCAGTATGTGATATGCTGGAACCACAAGATTTACTCTGTGTTCCCATTTTGTTTTTTACATCATCATATCGGATATATGACTACATTATATACATAATGTCACTATGCTATGTTGTGTGTTGGATACATGCACTGCGTTTATCTAAGATGCTTTAACTGTTTTGGGAGGGAACGGATTTTGTTTATCGCTATTTTTGTTTTAACCTTACTTTTTACTTTAGTGTGTTTCTTTAGTGGTAATGACTTTTGATTTTGTTTACTATGTGTACAGATGCCAACAAGAAGGTTAGTAGCAGTACAGCCGGAGAGGGTAACAACGTTTTCATGACCTCGACAAAAAAAGAAGACAAAGATTTAGGTTCTTCGTTATCGTCCGACAGTACTAGTCGTGGTAACCGCACTCTGCCCATAAATACGTCATCAGAAACCAATGCCATTCCTAGCAACAAGAAGATGCAAGTCCCCCACACTGACCGACTGGTATGTACAACAGCAGACAATACGTCTAAAGAAGTCGATGATCCGTCTAGTCCAATTTCAAAATCGAGCACTTCAATCACGCACCCATTACATAAAAACCGGCATTTTGGAAATCAACTGACGTCAGTGAACGCGACCGACGCCAATATCACATCCTGCAGTCGGCGGACATCGCACCTGTCGAACTACCCCCAGCAACGCGGCGGCGACCCAATCAACTCTAACTATTTATCTCCGACTGATTCATTGGACGAGGGACCGCCACTGACGTCATCACAACAGCAGTGTAGCCTCGGTCTGGCACAGAATGCTAGTTTGTCCGGAAGAGCATCGTGCGCGTTGGACGCTGCAATGGCCAGCAAACCACAATGCATGGCCATACAGCCAACACACATGACACAGAGTTACATGCCATGTAACAACAAATCCACTTCCGGAGTATTCCCCGTCGCCATGTACAGTACAAACGAACACCACCCACACTCTCATCACCATCACCCGACATCAACGATTCCTCACGTACACACGCAGTCGCATGTACAACAACTACAACAAACGAATATCCCGACATGCCACGCGTTAGCTGGCACGTCCTCGATACCCAGCCAGTTCTTGCACACGCACACTAACACAGCGACGATGGGTATGAATGTTCATATGAGCAGTCATTTTCCAACTCACACTATGAAATTTTCCGCCTGACTCTGAAACTTTAAAAAAATAAAAAGTTAATAATATATGTAACTGTAATATGTTAATTGTCATGGACACATGACGTCATATCACCATGTGACCAGAATTCGTGCGTTTAGTTGTTTGGATACAATTCACGGTCACAATGTCGTTGCAGATGTATGAGATGTGCGGGGCGTGGCTAACGAAAAATGATTTGTTTTTCAATCTTTAATTCAGCGCTTTTATTTATGTTTTAAGTCACGTGGCATTAGTTGGATGTTATATATTCTATATATGTAATGAGTTATGTGTAATTTGCATATTCTCTATCAAGATTGTTTCACTGGCTTTTTATTATAATTGAACATGTGAACAGTTTCGTATGTCTCTGACTCTGAACATTTTGTATTATTTTTAAAGATGACTAGCGAATGTATATAATGTATTTTTTTTCTGTTCTTGGGCAAGAAACTCAGAAAATTCCTTTGCCAATTCGTATCGATCAAAACCAACTTCTTCGAATTCGTCTTAATATTCATGCCATTTTATTCTGTGATGATATTTAAATACGACAATTTTTCAATGTGGCACGTCACATAGCAACCATATATGGCAGGTCACATGGCAACCATATATAGTACGTCACATGACAATCATGTATGGTACGTCACGTGACAATCATATATGGTACGTCACATGACAGTCATGTATGTTACGTCACATGACAACCATAAATAGAACGTCACTTAACGACCACATTATACGTAGACTGACCCAGCCGTGGAAATTTGATTGGTTTTATTGCTTTTATTTGTAAAATCAAAGAAAAAAAAACGGAATTATCACATACAACGATAAAATAGCCACAAATAACAGAAAACAATGTTTAATTTCATCCGTTCAATAACCTGTTTATTGTATCATATTGTGACGGTGATTGTATACGATTAATTTATCCCAATAAATACAAACTTTACGTAATTCTCTGTTTGCATTTCATTGGTCATGTTTCGTCGTGTGCTAGACGTCACTATGACGTATACTTATCTAATTTGTGAATAAAATAACACAATTATTGTAACAATGTAATATCTATCCAATAGCATACGTCTATTATGGTACATTTTAGTTGCGTACTTATATAATTATTGGTGATATTTGTTTTTTATCATTGTATCATTGTTATATTCATGACACAAATCGAGCGACACCACTTGCTGTCACGCGAAGAGAGATTGGCGTTGGTAGACCACCAAGGCCCCACTTAAATGCCGAACATTTTTTGTCAGTTCAGTAATAGTTATTTTCAATCTGACAACTTGTTTCACATGTCCACTACCCATGATGCAAATCAGTATCCTCGTACATTGATGTGTCGCTTTTTCCATGTTTATAAACATCTCTGTACATTCTTTAGTGTTTGTCAATTACAGTCACCATGCGCAGATTCAGAGGAGCGCCAGGTGGCAGATCACTAAAAAAAGTCTTGGTTCACGAGGTAGTTCCTGGCACTAGTCTCTCGACTTTCTCTGTCAATGTGAGTCACGTGTTCTATGACCCAAAATAAGCGTATTCTTGTTATCTTGTTGTGAATCAGGGGTACTATGGCCCAAGTTGTCACTCGACCTACTTTGCCACGGTGGCTTAAAGGGAGATGGTCGTCGCGCCACGCATGTGCGACATTCGTGTTGATAAGCATTGATTTTCCCATAATCCAATGCGCTCTTCTAATGGAAATCACGAGGGTTGACCTGGGCGCGACTTGCACTAATTACCGCCGGTGACTAATTCGATACCTTCCAATCACCTAAAAAATAAAAAAATACCCAATTAAAGCTTGGTAACGTCTCATTTTCTATATAGACCCATATACTAGTATCTCGCGCATGCGTGGCTCGACGACTACCGCCCTTTAAAGGTACTTTGACTCAATTAATTTCTAGACCTGCTCTATCATGGTGGGTCAGAGGTACTATGGCCCGATGAGTATGTAGTCCTGTTCTGTCATGGTGGGTCAGAGGTACTATGGCCCAATGAGTATGTGGACCTGTTTTGTCATCGTTGGTCAGGGGTACTATGGCCCGATGAGTATGTGGACCTGTTCTGACCTGGTGGACTAGGGGTACTATGGCCCAATGAGTACGTGGACCTGTTCTGTCATCGTTGGTCAGAAGTACTATGGCCCAATGAATATATTGACCTGTTCTG